CGTGTCCTAACAGGCATTTATAAACTTTTTCCGTTTGACAAATTTATTAAACGGTAGTTGTTGTTCTGATGACTTAAGGTTATAAACAAAAAATGTTTCAAATATTCATTTATATTTATAGGTATTTAAGTGAATAATGGACATAGATAGTGACTTATTATATGGAACCCTTAGGTTGGGCCTGCTCCTTTTGCTTCTATGTTCCATTAACTTGGCGTACTAAGCGCAGACAAAGGAGATTTAAGGTTCGACCCATTAATATAGACCGGGGGATAATGACAGATTTTCGGACGTGATTTCTTACAGTATGCCTCTTGGAGTATATTGAGGTGTGGATATTCTAACGTTAATAACACAACTATGAATGAATCACTCCGTGTTCTTCATATAATATGCCGTCATTTTCTACAGTAGGTATGCTACGAAGCTCTGGATAGAACACATAGGAAATTATTTTGTAAATTACAGTTGTAACTGGGAATTATATATACTACCTAAATACATCTATATGAAGTGAAAAACAAAGAGGCATACTGTATCAATACACGAAAATTTGTTTAACAATTTTTCAACTTCTGTTGCGTATATGCCTGCACGTTTTACCATTGAATTTGACTGTCCCTCTCGTTATGCCAATAGAGCATATAGATCATACGTTATCATAAACTGCATGGGAACGTAATGGCATTACTTAATTAATTAATTAATTAAGTTAATTAACTTTTATATATGAAGAACACGGAGTGATTCATTCATAGTTGTGTTATTAACGTTAGAATATCCACACCTCAATATACTCCAAGAGGCATACTGTAAGAAATCACGTCCGAAAATCTGTCATTATCCCGTCTAATAGACTGTCATAAATTTAAATCAACTGTTGTCATATGACGTCACGTACTGATGAATTCTGATTGGCTAAATTTGGGAACGGCGGCGGTAAAACTCAAAACTTGGTTAACTCTGAACGGCAAAGCGGCGACGGGAACGTCGAACGGCAACGACAAATTAAGTTTATAAATACGTATATGAAAAAGTCTATTGTTTATGTGGCAACTTCAACGGGAACGGGAACCACCAACGGGAACGGAAAAGTTTATAAATTGCACTTAACTGAGCCACTGGCAGTATTTTAACAAATTTGAAAATGAAGATGCTTTACAACTGAAACTACACCACGTATCCGGTGGACAGAAACATAGAGATGGTATGTTGTTGACTATAAATCAATGCATACTATCACATGCCCAGAGCTTTAGAGACTGAAAGCAGATGGTGACAGAAGTAGATATGAATTACCTTACCATTCATTTTAGGGCGATGTTGCATCAACATAATCTTAATACAAATTTTGCTTTGGAAATTAGTAATCATTTCTTAATGATGCCTTATGTCAAAATATATGAACGCGTTCCAGTGCCATGAAAGCATTTAAAATGAAAACATTGAGAAAAAGAGTTATCGATGCGTCAAATAGTGCGACTGCTTTACCTGTAAAATGGGATACATCATCCGTTTCTACGATATATATAAAATAACTATTAACGTCGCTTTTAAAATACTTATATTACAAAAGTAACGTTCAATTTGGAAGTTGATACTAATTAACTTTTGCTCAACATTTTCGTTCAATGATAATAAAACGTTCACAGCTCTCAATTTGTCATATATGAAGGTGAACTATATTTACACATGCAGGTATTTTTGAATTGGGCGATTACTATTTGACACCATATCATTACCATCGATACTGATCTTTATGAATGCCAGTATATAACTACACAAAGCAAGTGCGAATGTAGACATGCAAGTTGCTGTAATTAGTTGCACTCACGATTTGTTGTTCACCCAAAAGCTGTAGCGCTCAATTTGCATATCGAAGGCTTGAATAAGCACACATTTGACGTTCCACCATACTATCTTACTTTTAATCACTTCTTTGTCACTGAAGCATATCAAATACAAGCTATACTTAAAAAATTACCTACTGTTCAATTAAGTAAGATAAAAAAATGAAAGCACACCTACTACTATATGTAAAATTTGGCTTAAAGTTAATAAGTAAGTACATAGTAGAAGTAAGCATTTTACCTTTGCATTCTCAGTATGAAACACCTGCTCGGCACTAAATAAGGACTGTAAGTTTGTTACAAGGAAAAGTATTCTTGAATCGTATAAAGCTGGTAATTCATCATGCAATTCCGAATTTAGCATATCGTAAGTCCTTTTCGCTTCCTCCAACTGTTCGCGGCCTTTATTTAATTTCACATCGTCTCTCTTTTTAGTCATGCCTAATTGCAAAGCCTGAAAGTTATGCCTTTGGCTATCATAGTCAACTAATTTGCGGCCTCTTTTATCTATTTTTTTCTGAAATGAAAAATTATAATCACAACATAGGTACCTATATGAAAAAAGAAAGCATGCGTGAATGCGATTTGAAATAAGTATGTAGTTTAAGCGTATAATTACCCTCATTTCTGAAAATTGCCCTTGGTACGTATTGAGTGGTATCAAAACTTGATCGGCCAATTTGTGGTTGAAGTCTTGCCATAGCATATCTACAGATTGTGTTTGCATAAATAGTAAATCGTGTCCAGACCATTGACTTTCATAAATTTCTCCTATAGATTCCAATAATGATTTTGATGCTATTTGTATAGCTGTAAAAGAAAGAGAAACATGTTAACATTTACCTATATATTCAATATGCACAGTTAACGTTTATAATTGCAAAAAAGCACACGAATTAACGCTTAAAGAACATAAGATCAATATCAAATAAAAATCAATTCTCCTCAATACTTTGCACGATAGTAAATATGGAATGTAAAAAACCTTTTTCCGCCAAACAGCTTACCAAAAATCACAAATTCTTTGCATGAAAAAGGTCGTCTGAGGGACTGGAATATGGATTTACTCTACTTCCACATACTTAACTTTAGCTGCGCAACTAAAGTACCTACATAAATTATCATCTTGCAAATCCCCGCAATCGATGCGAATTCTTAACACCAAGGTAGTGATCGACGGAATGATGGACACGAGAACGGACAGGCGTCCTTTTTTGATGGCACGCCGTTACATTACCACGAATTATATTGTAAAAAAAGTATTTTGCAGTCTGCGCATGCGCGCATTTGATTTTCACTAGGTATGTGCGACGTGTTTGCCGTTGGTAATCACATTTGTAGTTTTCGACTTTTACTACATGTGATATGTTTTTATTTACTAAAGCATCTATGGTTAAAGTTTCAACGATATATCTTTAAAAATAAGGAAGTTGGCACTGACTGCGCATGCGCACATCTAATAATAATAATAATAATAATTTAATCGTAAAATCGTAATAATGTTTACAATATCCGATATGTTTGCCTTTAACAGAAGCATATGTGATTAAAATTTCAAAACAATATCTCGATAAATAGTACAGTTGATATTGCGCAACCTGGGCATGCGCACATTAATCTGATGTTTACAATATGCAATACCTTTGCTTTTACTAAAAGCATATCTAGTTAAATTACAGTTAAAGTTTACATGAATTTTTCTTGTATTTGTATGTTCAACTCATTACCATGCCTTTAAGAGTAAACAGAATTAACTTCGGAATTAACCTTTTCTCATTTAAATAGTACCTAACAAAAAACTTTAAAGAATCGACATCTTCATCATATTGTCGAAATGTGGACTTATGAATTTGAATGTTAGAGTGAATATTAATTTTAAATAGTGAATACCTTAAGAATTGGGTTCATAATTTTCTATTTTTAGACTGCTTTCACATTGGCAATTTTAGCGGCGCGACTCAGAAGCGCGGTTAAGAATCGCCAATGTGAAAGCAGTCTTAAGGTTACGAATTGTGCTTTAAAAGATGGGGTAGTGATTGTTATCGTTTAAAAAAGTTTTTATTTTTGCACAGCTTTACGAAGAGCCCCGCTAGCAAGTTCTTAACCAAGGTGCTAATCAAATTATGATCAAGTTATTAGTCCGAGTATTAGTCAAATCACGTCACACGTGTTTGAAAACGTTCCTCCGTTTCATCTTTGAAGCTTCTTATCATCTATGACTATAACTCTCTTTACGTCGCGTCGTTACCTACATGTTTCTACATCTTAAGATTACCACCGATAAACAAGACATCTACTATCAATTCTTCCATCATATGAAGAATAATTTTGATTTACACATAAGTGCTGATTTGATCTTTATATTCATTTGATTCACTTTTATTAAGGATCATGTCCTTTATAGTTTTGCATTATTGTCCGCCCGTCCGTCCGTGTGCGCTCTAACTCTTTTTAAAAGTGGCCGATTGTGTTGAAATTTGGTGTACGGGTATACTTTGCACATTAAGGACGGACGCTATTGATTTTCAGGAAGCCGATTCAACAGGAACAAACGTTATAGGACTTCGAGCGAATCGGGAACAGGAAAAACTGCGGACTAAATATAATAGAAATCAAAATATTTCATTCCCTAGGTCATGTATCGAGTTCGGACTTTCGCTACATTATTCCCTATTACTCTTAGATGTGTAATAATTCAATATAACTCTTCTCTGTGGTATAGAGATATCACATTTGATAACCGCATGTGTGTGATTCAAAGATGTTAAATTATTTTTCTGAGGCCACATGGATTTTCATCAAAATAAGTCAAAATCGTTATTTATGCACCAAGGTAGTTGAGAAAAAGAAAGACTAGAGGCATTTCTGGCGACCACATGCATTTTGATCAAAACATGTCAAAATCGTT